TTGCCCTGGAGGGAGACATCATGGTTATTATTCTAAAAAGCAAAAGGTAGTGCTTCTACCCTGGCTCTGTCTCTATCTTCCAAGGTTGTTTGCTCTGCAGACATTTTTGAAAAGATAGTTTTGAGCAAAATGCTGTCAGGACCTTGATTCACAAGACATGTAGAAATAAGAAAGTCCCATGGAACACTGCGTCCCAACAATGATTTATTATTTCCGGTTTTATGAAACTGAGGTTTCAAGACCTCAGGTGACTTGATCAGTCACAAGAACTTGTATCAAAACATCATTTTAGTGATCTAAATGCAAAGGGAAGTCCATAGTTCTGCCTACCTATTGATAGGATTATAGGTCACCAGAGAACCTTTTGTTTGGAGAAAATTGCCATTCTCTTTCCTCTGATTACATTTTGTTATCTGTGGACTATGCAAAAAACAAAACAAAACCACAGCCTCACAAACTCCAGACTTAATCCACGTGTAATCCCTTGCAATATTTTCAGTCTTAATATCTTCCTGCAGATATTAGAACTGATTTCTCTTTATACTCAGTATCACCTCAATTTAGCTAAAAAAGTTAGCTTTCCAAATATATATAAAATTAGTTTGTATGATTTATAGCAAATGGAAATTGAAGTTGTTAACATTTGAAGAAGTTCTAGAGATTGGATAACCTAAAGGAAAACAATAGCAACAAACTCAAGAAGCCTGTATATTTTCAATAAGGAATTTGTAAAAAGTTTTAGTTTTCTGAAAATGGAACCTTAACTTAAAACCTTCAAGGTTATTTGTTTTCTTTTAGACACTCAACTATTAATTAAGCACCATTTCAAGAATGCACTGTATATTAAAATATAGCACCTTCTCTACATAAGCATCAATGTCAGGGCTATTCACGAAGACAATCAATGCCTCCCTTTCCATTATTGTGAAAGTCACAGTGGAAGTATAACCTTGTGCTTGACTTATGATAAAGGAGCAGAAGGGGTGACCCTTGGACTGGAGTGGCAGAGACCGCAGGCCTTGAGTGGAACTTCTCAAGTGGACTGGAATCAGTGGGTTGATAAGTAGAAGAAAGGAAGGAGGCTTCCTATCTTCTCTAGTTTATCTTGTTGTTGTCACGAAGCATGATTGTGATTTAATCTTTGCTCTAAATTACATGTTAACTATGCTTACTCTGACATGTTAATAATATTGGGGGAAAAGAGGATAATATTCAGGAATATTTGGGCTTAGAAGAATTAGTTTCTAGTAAATGGCACTTTTCCCATCCTTCAACTGCTGTTTTATTGTAAGACAGTAAGTTATGCAATTTCATCTTGTAAAATGGTACTAGACAGCAGAGTAAACTTCAAGGTGTATATGTGACCTTGGGAGAGTTTTACACCTGTACTAATCTACAAGTACATGCACATATGAAGAGAAAGTGTCTTAGCATTTTCACTCAAATACAAACAGAACCATCTACCAACCAGAATTCTTTATCGGTTCCCCTGAACCGAAACACCACATGGTCCATTCTATATATGGTATATGAAAATTTGGTTGAACTCTACATTAAATTCTACACAGTGCTGGGGATTTATTGAACAAAATTAACCAGTTGTATCCTTTGAATTGTACATTGTGCTCCTAAGGTGCAGATTAAAATATCAGCAAACAATTCCATCATCTGATCAGCTGCCCCTAAATTGTAAAAACTCTATACCAGGTCACACTTAGTCCTTAAATCCTGTTCATTTCTTATCTGTATGAAGAGAATGAATAAATTTTTCTGCAATTTATATAATGTAATGCAGAGAATTGTTTCTCATTTTCAGGCAATGTGTAATTCAGCAACTGAGTTACAATGTACTGTATCAATCGTAAGTTCATTATATGAATTTAATAGATGAAGATACTGTGGATACAATCCCAACTCATAGTTCCATAACTGCATAAATCACATCAAATTTTGATTATTTCAAGCATGCATAAGAGAGCTAATGCTATAACACCCAGGTGCTTTTTACTTCATTTAAACAACAAAAAAGGATATAAGGCATTTAAAAGAAAGAAGGCATACAATGTTTAGAGATTTCATACTGAGAATCAGTGATTATTGCTCTTCTTTTTCTATTTCCAACGGTGAAGGACATTATCTTAAGAGCATTAGCAGATTTTAGCTGTGAAGGAATAGCCACCTGGGGCCTGGAAAGAATGTCGAAGAAGCTGTGGAACCAAATCATATTGGAGACGTTGAGGCAAAAGAATCAGGAGGAGAGGAAGTCACATAATTAGAGCTGGTGAAGCCCAACATGGGGAGGTAAAATGTGATGAGAAAATGGTAGTCTTTAAAATCTTTGAAATAGATGGCAATGCTGACTCCAACACATGGCAGAACAAGGCCAAGAAAACCCTGGCACTCACTCTGAAAAACGTGTATGCATATGTTAAATGGTAATGGAGGAGCCCCCTCTGTGGCTCACCCCAGCTGCAGTGGTTTGTCGTTTTCAATAAAAACTTAATGCCTCTCCCAGAGAATGAGTGCGTGCTTTGGTTCATAAGGGGATAACGCACTGGCCTTATTTCCAATGTCTGACAGATCAGCAAATACACATAGGCACTACTGCCTATTTGCTATTTACTACTACGGTAAATGGCAAGCCATAAAACGCGATCTGTTTAAATTGCATTTTGCAAACAATCCTTACTTCATGCCATACACTCTGCGAAACATTATTATTATTATTTATGAGGTGCAGTTAAGGGTGCCTGGTGCTGGGAGAATTGTGGATTTCTTTTACATTTAATTTTGTGAATGGAAGGGACCTGAAGATTATCTTGTTGGGGACTCTCATTTTATGGTAGAAGAAACTGGAATGTTATAATAACTTGACTATGATCATGCAGATAACTAGAGATGGAGGCCAGCTACAAACACAAGTTCCTAGCATCTATTTTAAGTGTTGAACTAAAATAGCCATGTTCCTATATTTAAAGCAATTATTCCCAGTGAGTCAGAGTCATTGTCACCATGAATGAGCACTTTGTGCCATTTAAAAAAGGAAGTATATATATATATATATATATATATATATATATATATATTATACAAACACACATATGTATATATATGTATACATATCACTGGTTGTCACAATTTAGGTATTTTGTCATTGAGAACCTTATTAGTCAGGAATAGGTTTTTAAGGTTCATCATGTGCAGTGACTGGGGATTATGATCCCATGTTTCTATTAGGGGGCTAAAATAAAGCATCTCCCTAGATCATGAAAGTAAGACAGAAGATATATCTGTTCTCTGGGATTAAACAATAAAACACAAATAAAATAGATGAGAGCAAAAACGTGTGAAATTTTTTTCAAAAAGGAAAAATATTTCCTGGGCCCTTGAGCCCTGGCTGCAATCATATTTCCATAGATTTCAAATCACCACATGTTTTGATGTCATCACTTGACTTTCTGCCAGGCATTTCAAACTAAAAGTGAACTCATGGTTTGTCCATCCAAACCAGCTCCTTCTTTCCTTCCTTTTCCACCTTTCTGTAAAAAGCTCCGGTAGCATTCGGATTCAGTGACCAAAATCTAGGTGTTATTTTTTATTTATTTCTGTCTACATCCTTCATCTCCAAGTCATCAGTACATACTGCTCACTCGTCCTATAAAACATATCTCAAACCATCTTCTTTTTCCATTTCTGCTACCACCACCCTAGCTGGCCCAAACCCATTTCCTCTGTCCTTGACAAATACAAAAACCTCCTGATTGTTTTTCTCAGTTCTACTTGGACCCTTCCATGAATCATTCTTTGTACAGCAGTAAAAGTAATTCTTAAAAATAGAAATACGACTTGGGCTGCCTGGGTGGCTCTCAGTTAAGCGTCCGACTTTGGCTCAGGTTATGATCTTACCGCTCGGAAGGTTGAGCCCTGCATTGGGCTCTCTGCTGTCAGCATGGAGCCCACTTCAGATCCTCTGTACCCTTCTCTCTCTGCCCCTTCTTTGTGCTCTCTCTCTCTCAAAAATAAACATTAAAAAATAAAAAAAAATATATAAATAAGACCATATAATTCCCTTGATGAAAAATAGTGTAGGGCTTCTCATTATGTTTGGTACAAAGCAAATGATAAATTTCTTTCCCAGCTTTAGAAAACCCTATAAGATCTCTGTACTACCTATTTCTTTGAACTTCCTCAGTATCAATTTTCCCTTCACCCTCTAAACTCCCATTCTATAGTGCATCTTAAGTTCCTATAAGAAGTCAAGCCCATTCACCGCTATCAGGCCTTTCCATGATCTATTTCCACTGCTAAGAACTGACTTCCCCTATGGATGTATGGGCGGCTTCTAATGGCCATTTAGCTTAAATGTCACCCTTTAATGACATTAAAGAACCCACAATCTAAAGTACCTGTATAACCTTTCTACTCTTGGGATCATTTTTTTTCCCCAGGATTTCACAAAGAACTAATAGAGTTCCTTGCTAGAATCCACCATCTTGTCTCCCTATTCTTTCTTCCACTCAGCTGTGGAGGAAATAAGAAAAAAAAATCAGTTGTGAAAAATGCTCTGGAGAAAGTTAAACCAAAGTGAGTAAAGCATAATCAAATAATCACAGGAGCACACCTAAGGCATATGTCATTACACATAATGGTAAGTATTGTGAAGGCCATTATGAAGTATCATGAAGAGTGATATGGTGTATATATACACTCTTCTCAGTGGTCCTACCTGTGACCAATGGGACCACCTATACCTTTGTAGTGATATTGGCACAAGTGGGTTAGAGGCCTGTGAATGGTCAGGAACAGCCTAAACCAGTCTTTCACGTGGATTTGTAAGCCATACTTGCATTTTCATTAGCCTGGTGCCTGAACCTATTTTTGCCTGATAATGAGGTACCAGGGGCAGGTATCTCATTACTCATTCTCCTGAGCTGTGAATTTTAGCAAGCCTACATGGTTGGGATTTAGAGATTGGATGTCGTTAGCACACAATGGGCCTGATTTCCCCAATGTCCTGAGTTGAAACTGGTTTTATTATTCCTTGATTTTATTATTTTTTTGTAATTACTTTAGGAAATTGTGATAAGTCTACTCTGGATTCCTTTGAGAAGTAGTATAATCCCTGAAAAGAGAAGTAAGTTGGTATCAGAAAGAGGAAGAAAGACCAACACGCCTGGATTGAGCATTTATTACATGCCAAATTGTTAGGTACTTGTTACATGTTCCCAAACTACACTGCATATACCTTTTATACTCATTGTACTTCATTTATGTGGTGCTGTGATTAATGTTTAATTCAAAAAGTAGATAATCAGAAAGTGAAAGCATTGGTTTTGCTTTTTTCTTTTAACTACCTGGCATTGTGTCTGACACATAGAAAGTGTTGGAATGAAATTGTTGAATATAAAAAATGAACATGTTATTTCTTTTAATAATTTCCATAATTTCACTAAGAGGTAGTACCACTACCCAGAGATAAAAAGCTAACATTTTGTTACATAACATTTATATAAATCCTGTGAACAAGTAAAACTGTATCTGTGTAAATCTGTTGAATAGTTGCATAACATTGAATAAAATCTATTACATAAAAATACCAATATTAAATGGTCAGTTCCCTCCTAGTGAAATTTCAATTGCTGCCATGTTCCCACCATTCTAAGTACTTCTCTAGTAAATACACATGTATTTTGTGTGTGATTTAAAATAGTCACCTTATCTTTTAAAATCATTCCTGGGGCACCTGGGTGGCTCAGTCAGTTAAGCAGTCGACTTCAGCTCAGGTCATGATCTTGTGGTTCATGAGTTCAAGCTCCACGTAGGTCTCCGTGCTGAGATCCTGCTTCAGATTCTGTGTGTCTGTCTGTCCCTCCCCCACTCACACTATCTCCTTCTCTCTCTCTTTCTCTCTCTGTCTCAAAAAATGAATAAACATAAAAAAATTAAAATTATCCCTAATTTTTAATTTTTTATTGTTATTGTTTTTGTGTTTGCACTCTTTTATCTTCATTAGGCCAGAGAGTGGTTTATCTGTGTTTTGGGTTTTTTTTAAGGAAACAAGTCTGAGATAAATATTTTGGCTATACTGTTTGTAGTTTCCTAATGCATTTACTTGTATGCCAATATTTGATAAATTCCTTCTCTTTTTACTAAATTCTTTGGTATTCTTCTCAGAACTGCTCATGTGACATACTTAATTTACTTCTTCCTTAAAAATAAAAGCATTTACAGCTGTGCATTTGCCTCTAAATAGAGCTGGGGTAACATCTTAAATCTTGATAATTCATGCCCTAAATTTTGGCTTTTGACTTATACTTTGATGCTTTGGTACTTTTATACTTTGATGAGATTGTAATTGAAATAAAACATATGTACAGAAAAGTTCCCACATTATGACTGCACACATCTTATGTCAGAGTGAAGTATTGGCAGTGGAGAGGAATGGAAAGAGAAACAGGTTTTTCCTGCAGATGGAAATAAACACTGGGGTTTGTCTTTGCTTTTTCTGAGGACCCAAAACAGTGGCTCAGCTCAGTAGGGGGAAATGGAAAACCTTTCGAGTAGCTGTCATTATCTAATCAAAACCACCTACTCTTTTTTTTTTTTTTTTTAGTTAAGTGTGATTGAAAGTTAATTGATACAACAATTTCCTTGGGCGTCTACTACTTGCAATTATCAAAGTCAATAACCATAGATCCTTTCACAAGGAAGCTTCAACTACTGTGGAAATTTCATGTTAAATTTTTTTCTTAATATTTATTTATTTTTGAGAGAGAGAGAGAAAACGCGCACGCCCGCCCCCGCGAGCTTGAGTGTGGGAGGGGCAGAATCCGGAGCAGGCTCCAGGCTCTGAGCTGTCAGCACAGAGCCCAACACCGGGCTGGAACTCAAGAACAAGGAGATCATGAACCAAGCCAGAGTTGAATGCTTAACCAACTGAGCCATCCAGGCGCCCCAGAGATCTCATGTTGTATCTTCTTTTGTAGTTATCTGTGGTTGAAGAGTATAAAAAAGTTTTAGAGGGATTGATATATTATTTCAAGGGATGGAATTATTACTGTCAATTTGGAAATAAAAATATCTTCACAGAGGAAGTAGCTCTTGTGTGCAGGTTGATAATCACCAGTTGAGGATTTCATGATACATATAAAGTTTAAAATATTAAATGATGAAAAATCTGTAGCCTCATACAAAGGATCCAACAGAGAAGAAAAAAATAAGGATGCAGGGCACTGACATTCTGGTAAAAGAAGAAATTTAGATTAAAAACAACCCAAAGTTCTAGGCTTGAAAAAAGTTTCTTATCTTTCTTTAAAAATTGAGTGTAAAAAGGGCAGATAGAATGCCATTTTGAGAGAGAGATGGGAGAAGATACTAGATGCATATTTGTTGCAACAACATGGTAATGTGATTAATGAAAAGTTTCTACTAGGCATAAAGCTTCATTTAATGGCAAGGAATATAGAAATGCATAACTAATGCAGAAAGTGAAGAATATAAGACCCCTTTGTCATTTTAGTTTATCTTTTTTATACTTTTGTAGATTCTCTAAACTCTTCTGAAGTCTCAATCCATGTCTCTGCTGCCCACCCATTCATAATTATTACAGAAATTTTCTGAGTGCTGCAGTAATATTTTGGGGAGTCAAAAGGCTACTTGTCAGGAAGCATCTATAATTGTTAGGTTTATTTGGGGTTAATTTGTATTAACAAATGCTTATTAACACCCTGACATGCTAACAGGTAGAAAACACTGGCTTAGCTAATTTATATTATTTGATTATATGTTATATTTATGCACATTATTATCCTCATTTTATGGATAAAGAAATGGAGACACAAATTTTAGATATGTCCTCTTGGTACAATGTTGTGAATGTTTTTCTGAGCAGCAGAACCAAAAACCTAACTGAAGATGGATGGAAGTTGACTCAACAAACCTGGCCGTGGAATTGTTCCCACTAATGCTTGGCTGCCTGCAAGTATGAGTGCAGAATGTGGGTAGTGCAATCTATTTGGGGTTTGATATAATTTAAGGCAATATAAATAAATGATATGAACATTCAAGAGAGTATTGTAACAGTGAATGGAGTAACTGACCAAAACCTGGTATGAAGGCAAATGAATTTGGAAAAGAGCCACATGCGTCATAGAGATAAAGAGGTAACATGGTGAGGAAAGAACATATACCACACAGTGAGTGAGCAGATGAAGTGGAGAAATGAAAGGCATGGTCAAAGTAGGGAGATTCAGACTTTTGGATCTTGGAGGTGGAGAAATTTCAAATAATGACAAGACTTAAGGTGAAGTAAACCAAATGAAATGAACTTGAGGATGTTCAGGAAGTTGAGGGTATGTGAGGTTGGCATTTTAAGGATCATTGACATAGATGTGAAGTTACCATCAGTAATCGTGGAGCAAGTGGTGGACTGGAAGTTAAAATAACAGAGTAAGATGGCATGATTGTTAACATGGTTGAACCATGCACAACGTGACATTTATGGGCCACCCTGAAAATTCAATGAAAACTTCTGGCATAAAAGGGTTTAGAAATAGAGGGCAGCCCTCGATGTCAGAAGACTGTCAAAAATTATTAGAGATCTATCATGTGTCAGGCACTGTGCTACACAGTGGAAATTCAGAGTCTGGACTGGAAGCTCATGCATAGGTGGGTAAGTTTCAGGAGTTCAGAAAATGATGGTGAAATTGACACGAGGGTGGTTTAAAAGCAGGGTGACTACTAGCTACGTGTATGATTAGAAAATCTTGATAACGCCCTGGACCATGGCTCAGATTTTAGACTGTGGCGCTTTAGCTGGATTTCAGTTCCTACATCTGGGAAACTTATGTACGTGGCACAACCTGCAAAATCAAACTCAGTGAGCCCATATTAATGGATAGCATGGATTTTAAATGAGAAAAGGCATTGAGAGATGATAGAACATCAATGTGAACATCAATTTAACTGAACTTGAAGTAATTGGGACTTGGTACTCTTGTGTGATTGATAAGTAATCTGCAAACAGCTTGATGGATTGGTTTGACCACACAGACTTGATCAGACTCATTCTATCTATCTCATTCTTTCTGCAGATTATCAATATAACAAACTTCTCAGAGTTGCATTTATTCTAGAATCAAATGCTGGAAAAGAAAAATTTATTTATAAGAAAGCCTGGGAGGAAAAAAAAAAACACACTACAATTCTTGATGGCAACAATAGGGAACTCATTTAGAAAATCAAGTGCACTAATCAATTTATAGCTTCCCTGGTATAAAAGAACCAAGTTATATTATTCATAGGCTAAGCATTTCTCTCTAATTTTTAAAAATTGTGAACAGATGACAAATTACTGCATAGTAACACATTATGAGGACTGAGCATGCATGTTTATATTTCATTGTTCTAATCTAATCTAACACAACACACACCAAAGTCCCTCATACACACATTTAATGGCATGCATCCTCATGATTTTGCTGCATAGTAATTAGGCATTAGTGATAAGCAGTTCCCATAAATTACTGTAATTAGTATTACTCTTATATCACCACAGCCATTTTTTTTAGGTTTTCCCTTCTAATTTTGTTAATTCTTTAGTATCTATCATCAACACAAATGTCAGCAGTTTCCCTAATGCCATGTGTGACTTAATTACTATTCTTTGCCCAGAGTAAGGTCTCAATTAATGCTTGTTGGATTGAATGGAATAAAATCATCATGTAGTAGCTAACATTCACTATGTATAAGGGAGAAACCTTGGGTTTGCTCTTGGGTGAGGGTCTCTGTGTGCATTTCTCAGGGTCATAGTCTCTTTACTCCTTCTTTGAAAGAGCCTTGAGTTTCAGAAGTTGAAAACATGTAGGTCAGGAAATGCTTGTTTAGAGGACAAGGTGGTGGTCATTGGTCACTCATCTGCTGTGTAGCTCAGAGTTCAGGAAATTGGGTAAAGACAGACCTATACATGAAGAGTAAGGGGCAATGGCAATGTATCTTCAGTACCAAACATCT